CGGCGGCTGCGCGGACAGAGCGATGAGCGACGGGAAAGAGAGAGACAGCGAATACTCACGTGATATGAAGATGAGAAGCGACGGAAAGCAGAGGACGGAAAACATCGCGCAAACAATGACTCAATGAGTAAACAGAGCCACAAATTACGTCATGAAAAAAGTTTTATTGAAAGGCACTCAACAGTCGATAGAATGATGTCTTTGTCGTCGAAAGTCGTCGTCTTGAGTGTCGTCGTCGACGTCGTCGTCGGAGAGACCGAGAGATTCGCCGATTTTCACTGAAAGCAGAATCAATGTCAATGTTTGGCACAAAGTGACCATAAATTACGTGTCTGCGAAGTGGTGGACAGCTTCCACATCGGGTGTCGACTTCTGGTGCGCGGAATGGCGCCGAAGTCGTACTCATTGGTGGGCGTCGTGGAGCCCGAGGAGAAGCACTTCCTCTCGACCACTCCCTGCCGCCGCTCGTTGGCTTCGGGCGGCGCTTCCGTGAACTCGCGAATCCCGGGATCTGTTGGCGTCTCGCGACCGCTGCTGTCGTCCAGCGATTCGAACGACTGTTTGCGGGCGAAGACGCGAATCAACTCATCGTTGGTTTGGTTCGAAGAGCACAGCGACTGTCGGGAGCGCTGTTGTCGAGTCTCAGGGTTCGCCGCGTAGATCGCGCGAGAGGTGGCGCCACTCGTGACGCGGCCGCAGATGAGCCCCACGTGATCCTTGTGTTGGTCGACGCGGGCGCTGATGGCGTAGAGCGCGGGTGTCGTCGGGTGGACGACAGGAGCGACGACAGTGTCGACAGTGGCGCCGCATTTGACGCATTGTAAGCGCGAAGGAGTGACGAACTGTTCGCTTCTCTTCATGTAGACGATGAGACAGATGACTGCGACTGCGCCCGAGACCAGAATCACGACCGACGACCCGATCGACACGAGCGTCGCCGCGTCCACAGACGACCACTCGTTGCTGTCGTCGGCGGTCGTCGTCTCTGTCGTCGCATTCCATTCCATCGCTTCGGAGAGCAACGCCTGCGCTCTCTCTCTCTCTCTAGTGTTGGAGCGCGCGCTCAGTCGCCGCCACTCCCGACGGGTCTCAGCCGACGGTCACGTGATTTGAGGCCATCTTCGCGACGAAAGAACGGAAAAGTTTTCGGCTTTTGTTTTTCGTCCGCTTTTTGGGCGGAGTTTGTATTTGTGGCGCTGGGCTCTGATTGGCTCAATCTCTAGACCAATAGAAATGTTTGTTTTGGAAAAAATGGCCGAAAATTGCGTTAAAATGAAAAATTGGAGAAAATTAGG